ATTAATTTGAAGGAAGTTTGTTTTTTGTCTGTTATAAGCAACGCTTCGGTTACAGAGAAATGCAATTTTTATGCTCGGCCTCCGATCGTCAAAGAATCCCAGAGGATTTTTTAAGGTTGCCTAGAAATGCCTAGATCTGCGAAACTTCATAATTCTCTCAGTCTCTTTGTAGTCGGCAACTTTTCCAGTTGCTTTGACCAGTTTTGCATCACGTGATGGTAAGCCGATTGAAGTAACCAAACTGACCCTGGAAGCCCAGGTGGCGAAGGCGCGATAGATTACAGCAGGAATGAACAGTATGAGAAGGTAAGAGTGAGATAAGACGTTTCGATCCATTAAGTCATGTACGTCTTAATTCATCACTGCAACAGAACCTCATCACTATGACGGTGGCAATGTGTGTGATAAGCGTACTGCCCGATTTTAACGTTCATTTCGTTTCCTGAAGGGATTACTGATACAATATTTCTCGTGACTGAAGCGGTTGGCAAGGATTTTTTATTCATTCCCGAGATATTTGTTTGTGTTGCTCGTCTGATCCCATCTCAATTAATTCATTCATATGCGATAATGAGGTACCTTATCGAGTAAAATTTTCAGGAAGCTTTGGTGAGCTTGAAAAAATACGCTGAAACATTGCAAGCAAAAATCGCTGAGTTACAAGAGCAACAAGGAGTAAAACCAAAAGAAACAGCTGTTGCAGCTAATGCGGTAGATGCTGCACCAGAACAAGTCGAGAAAAGAGCACTATCGCGAACCCCAAGTCAACAAAGGTTCGTTTTATGCTAAATTGTCTGTTAATTGTCCCCTTTAATCCCCTCATTGCATTATTTCATTCTGTGTCAGGGACGATTCATTTCCACTCTGTCTTTATTAATTCTGTTGTATGGCAGTGAAGCACAAGATACCACATTTGTTGATGAACAGATTGTAGTAACTAGGTTGACCCTGGAAGTCTAAATGGCGAAGGAACGATAAATTACAATATGAAAGAAGGAGATAAGAGTGAGATGAGACGTTTCGGTCCATCAAATCATATATACCTTAACTCAACACCGCGACCCCACCTAGTCAGTACAACGATCGCAGTGCTTAATGTGAAAGAAAAAGAAAAAAAGAAGACGACAGGAAGCAGAAGGAATGACGATCTGGTAATGGGGTTGGATGGAATAAGAGTGAGATGAAGAAGAAACGGAGGAAAAAGGAAGAAAAAGATTTCAAAAAAAAGTGGAAGAAAAGTTTCAAGAAAAAACATTTCAAAAAAGCATGGACTTAACAGGCTTTGGATAAGGCAGATTTCAGCAATCGCACTGTTTTTTCAACAAATTACTACGATTCTTGAGCGACATGGACGATATTATTAAGCCATTGCCGGGATGAAGAGCACGGTAGGTCATGTGGCGAAAACTGAAAGAAATCGGTTGAATGACCAGGTCGAAAGTCAGAATGACCTTCCACATTTCGCTGTTCCTGAGAAATCGAGAAATTTGGAAGTAACGTCATTAATAGTACACTGACAACAGTAAATATCTCCTGACTAGACTTTAATGCTTGTTCGGGACTTAGAATCCTACCGAGCGATTGTACTTATCGGGCATGCTCCATTACCAGTTTATCATGCAAATGAATGGACAAAAAACGTAAAGGGACTGGCATTGGCAAAATAGAACCCTTAATATTCAGCGCATGAGCAATCTTAATGTGTTTTCTCTCCTACACTCTTTACTGTGTTGTATTGTGCTTCTTTTGCAGCGTAAAATCATTGTCGACATTCGAATCAATGAAACTGAGCCAGGCTCGACGTCAGCGTGAACTAGAACAGGCACAAGACGATCGAATTATCAAAACACATGTGAATGCTCTGTTTGATGCATTATCGGTATATGTTGGATCGAATGAGTGCTTAGATACGTCGCTTGGTATCAGTGAAATTCGAGCTACAGTCATAATGAAAGTGGTATGTTTCGAGATTTTGGGATCGCATTTAGCTACGCACTGTCCTTTATGTTTCATCTTTCCATCGATGCTACAGTTGGCAACTTCTTCATTCTTTATTATGCATTCTGTGCATTGTCCCTATTTGTATGTGTGTGTGTATGTGTGCGTATGTGTGTGTGTGTATGTGTGTGTATGTGTGTGTGTGTGCGTGTGTGTGTATGCGCGTGCGTGTGTGTGTGTGTGTGTGTGCCTGAGTGCGTTCAGCTGGGCTACCACAAAGGAAGCTGAAATTTTAGGAGGATGTTCATCGCCCATGTGCGACCCCCTTAAATTCAGCCCCTTCCTCCTCCCCCGCCTCTACCCGCATGCACCCATGTCTTACGTACGGTTCCGTGAATGTTTTGGTTAAGGAAATTATTATCTCGGGAGTCATAAAAACTAGGAAGCCATTCGCCACATTAGGAGCATTTTGTTTGGCTACGCTAGTGAGACAACTCGTTTATTCGATTTGGTATTGAATTTACCACTGGTATCTGCCATGAGCTTGCAACCGTCATTGGCCTACTTCGAAAAAGCAGCCTTTGAAAGTCGGAACCATCGAAAGTCCTGCCCAGCAGTTTCTAGCTGCCAGTTATATGCTGCTAACTGGATTATTTCCGAATGTTTTGGTTTTTCACAGATTATGAAAGAAATCCATGAAAAACCGAAATATTCGAAGACAGCCAAAAATTTGACTCTTACTTTTACCGTATTTTGCAGCGAACGATGGAAGTAGAAGGTGGCGTGAAAGCAATAACAATGGAAGATTGTACAGGACATACAATACACAAACATCTGCTAGCACTCTGTGGTGAAGATATGGAGATGTTGTCGTTCACGTTCAAGCAGTTCAATCGCTCCGATGCCGAGAAGAAACAAATGAAACCCAGTGATCTGGACATGTTTGTGAAGGGCCGCTTCGCACGCATGCGTTTCATCTTTCTGTTCCTTTGGCTTGCACGAGTTAAGGTAACTTTTTCGGTGCACATTTTCATTTTTTTTTTTTTTTCAGGGAATAATTAGGTATAATTCGTAGTCTAATTTTTGAATTCCATAGCCAATAGTTTTTCCACTTATTATGACTAGTTTGTGGTGGTCAGCCTGCTGGTGATTTTCACATTCCTTTCTTCTCCTGAAGAAAGTATCTGCTCAGCAGTCTTCCTAATAGAAGTAGTTGGCAAGAGTTTGGCCGTTTCCAAATGCTTTTTGAAAATTGCCGCCTCGCCTGAAACGCTACTATTCCTAGATCGCGGTGCGAAATACGATAATAATAATAATAATAATAATAATAATAATAATAATAATAATAATAATAATAATAATAATA